ACAAAAAAAACACAACATATCTTATAGTCCCACCTTTGGCTTTTATCTTTAGACCATATGTTCACAGTGGTGCCCAGGATTTATCTTTGTTCAGAAGTCATTTCGTCATTCTGGCATTGTTACTCTTTGGAGAGGCCAAGGATATTTAAAACCATCAATTCTTGAGTCCCCTGGGTGGCTCAGTAGTTTAAGCATGTGACTCTTCATTTCGGCTCAGGTCATGATCTCAGGGTCGGGAGATTGAACCCTGGGGCGGGTTCATCGCTCAGCGTGAAATCTGATTGAGATTCTCTCTCTTCCTCTGTCCCTCCCACTGTGCACGCACCCCTCCACCCCTGAAATAAATAAATAAATAAAATCTTAAAAACAAAAAACATCAGTTTTTGGCTCCTTTTTGTTTAATGATCCTCTCCTCAATTTATCCCTCTCCACCCGCATTTTACTAAGCAACAAGAAGAAGGCTGCATCACTGACACTTTGCTTGGAAATCTTATCTAGATGACACAGTTTAGTGGGTACATATTTTAATTTCCACAGAGCTGCAGGAACAGTTCAGCTAAGTTTCCTGCCTTCTCATAATCAAAGTGCTCCTTCCTCCAACTTCTAATATTTTCCTCACTTTATTGTAAGATCTCACTCACAGTGTCCTCGATGTCCAAAGTTTTGCAATCTGTCTCAAGGTTGCAAACCTTGAATCCCTCACTAGCATCCTTCTCATGGTCACTGATGGATTCCAAAGCCAGGCTTTGGAATTTTACAGTTTTTGGTATGGCAAGCACCTTATCTCCACATAGCAAAATGGATTTCAATTACACATTTATGCATAAAAAATACCCCAGAAGTTAGCATATGGAAAGATGAAAACAAACTTTTGTTATCTTACAGCGTTCATTATTTAGGAGCAACCAACAGCAGCTTAGATGGCTGGTTATTGCTCAGGGTCTCTTAGTGTAGGGCAGGGTGAAAGGCTTCACCGGGGAGCATCCCTGTCTGAGCTTCCTCACAGGCTGTTGGAAAGCCTCGGGTGATCTTTCTCATTCACAGAGGTTTCTCCACAGAATTGCTTCATATTGTGGCAGCTAGCTTCCTCCAGAGCAAGCAATCCAATAAAGACCACCCATATTGAAGTTACAGTCTTTTTATAACCTAATTTAGAAAAGGCACTCCATCACTTCTGCCATTCTATTCCCTAGAAGTTAGTCAAAAAGGTCAGCCCACACTCAGAAGGAGAAATTCTAGGGGACGTTATGCCAAAACCTGAGGATCTTTGGGGGCCAGTTTAGAGGCTGTCTACTATAGTGATAAGATTATGAATGGTATGCTATTTTTGTGTGTGTAAGAAAAACAGAAATAGAAACACATATATATCTTTCCTTAAATCATCAAAATGAAACAATGTAAGGATAAAACGAAAACTAATAAAAATGGTTTCCAGAAAAGAGAGGTAGAAAATAGAGAGGAAGGGACAAAAGTCAGAACTATATCTCTTCACGTGCCTTGTTTGGTAGGTCTGATTGTTGGAAACATGTAACTATTTTACATAATGAAAATCTCAAAGGAAAAGAAGCAATCCCTTAAATATGAGATCTTTGTTTATATACTTCAACAGTAGTATCAACAGTAAATGAATTGGAGATATCCATAAAAACTGAGAATTTTTCTCTTTTGAAATATATTTCTAAAATAAAAGTATTTCATGTCCTTGTAACTGAAGAGCTTAGAATCAGTAGCAAGAATAATACCCTAGTAACCAGATTATGGGAACTGAATTTTATTTCCCATTAAAAAAACCAAAAGTTCCTAGGGGAAATAATGGATTCCAGGTCTAGAGCTGGAAATGTGCAAGATGAATCTGGATATCTTGTGATTGATCACAACAAAGCTATTAAGGTCCATGGGTACCTGATAAGAACACAAAATGTCAACTGAAGCAGCTCCTTCTGGTCAAAGATTGGGCAATTAAAATTCCAAAAAGAATAATGACTCTGATGGATTGAAATGTATCACATATACAGAACTCCATTTTTTTATTCTCTTTCTAACATAAGAGGGTGTCCTTTTGTGTTTGCTAGAACACATTCAATATTTCTGAACAATGGTTGATAAGGGTTAAGAATCAAGCATATTCCCTGCCTTTCCTATAAGGAATCGATTTCAAAACAATCCTATGGTTTTGAAAAATAATAGTTTATAAATTCAGGAATAAAATTAAATTAGAAAATGACAATTTTACAATCCCTAATGAAATAATGCATCAATGCAATGATCACCCAAGGCTGAAAAACCGTTAGGGAGACGTTTGGTGGGGAATTTTATAATGGATGTATCGGGCTGACAACACTTGAACCCTCTAATCAATGGAGCAGTCAGACATTTTGTTCTTCTTGATGTGATTTAGTTGAATATATACAGCACTTCTTATGGATTACTCTGGGGGAAAAAAAGAATGTACTCAAATATCTAAGTCACGTTACTAGTTAACAGGAAGTTTAAGGCTTAGGCAACTACAATAAATGATGCCATGAAGATACAATCAATTGTATATACACACACAATACGCACACACATACACACACACACTGCTCTATCAGAAATTTAAGAATCTAAACTAACTGTAGGAGAATATTTAAATCATATCAGGGTGTTATAAAGACCTACATAAGTATATAAGCAAAGGCATAATCATTATATAATTATTTAAACCCAGATTTATGAAACCCTTAAGTAACTACTGAGATTATTATTGAGAAAATTAATCTCTGACTTCAAATACCTCATTTATAGAAACACATTACTGTATAAATGATGGAGAAAGTTAGTGGTCATGGAAATTACTATAGACCCAAACCAGTCTAGAAATGGTGTCTCTACAACTGAATGTCTGCCTCAGAGCCTCTGTTTCCTAATCTATTAAATGGCAAGTTTTTTGTTTATGGTTTTTTTTTTTTTTTTGCTTAACACATGGCACTGCAAGAGGACTGAATGGAATAAGGTATTTAAAGCATCTGCAAATCTAAATCAGTCTTCACATAAAGAAATCATAACCATGTAGGATACGTAATCGCAACAAGTGAATGGAACAGACAACATGCCCGAGGTATTTCAAGGGGGGGGAAATCACACCATGTCAATAGGGAGTTTATGCAAATTTTCTGGGAAGGTCAGAGTTTGAGCTTATTTATTCCAGAGTGACAGCTTAAGGGATCTTGCCAGGTTATTCTAAATATCTGCCTCAGCATCTGGTACTATGTGCGGTGGATAGTCCAAACAACTGTTTGTTACATAAATGAACGAAGAGGAAGAATATGCTGTTAAGGCAAGTTAGAGTGTCCGCTGAGTTGTATGGGCTCTAGATGAAGACTCCTAATAATGATGGTACAAAAATCACCTTTGGTTGGGGTAAGTGGCATGCTACTTTGTCCCTTAAGCTTTCATATTTTTCTTCCCTTCAATCAAGTAGTTTCCTTTCTCTCTTAAAATGATTATGTTCCCAAAAGGGCTAAGAAATTTTAACTGGAGGGACGCCTGAGTGGCTCAGTCGGTTGGGCGTCTGCCTTCGGCTCAGATCATGATCCCAGGGTCTTGGGATCAAGTCCGCATCGGGCTCCCTGCTCTGCAGGGAGCCTGCTTCTCCCTCTGCCTCTGTCTCTCTCTCTGTCTCTCATGAATAAATAAATAAAATCTTTAAAAAAAAAAAAGAAAGAAATTTTAACTGGAAACATGGGAAGATACTGCTCGCTATGGTAAGCAAGAAAAGAAATAAACATAATCTTTTGAACTTTTATCAAATTTAAACTCTTTATAAATGAACGAGTCATTTATAAAATTTTCAATCTTTATACATTTTTTTTTTCTTAAAAACATCCTGACCTGCTAGGCACTAAATAGTCTTGCCTATAGCAAAAACCCATACATTGCCTCCAGCTAAAATTCAATACTCCCTATTTCTCCTTGCATCTTATAAACATGATATAATTTTTAAATTAAAATTTCTTTACACTAGGGAATAGCCTACTTCTGAATGTCATGAGTTCCTGCGTTAAGGGGGGGGAGTTCCCCATTGTTTTGATTTTACAAGTTGAACATTTCAATGGGTCATTCGCATCCACCAGTAGTAGCTTTGGTCTCCATTCCGCCTGGGAGATGAAAAGCCAGGACCCACTCTTAGGCCTAGTTAACTGAAACGCGTGCATAAATCAGTCCACTCCGGTCCTTCTCGCTGCTGCTTCGCGAGAGGACGTCGGCGAAGGGCTGCCTCGCCTGACGGCTCCAGTCTCCTCAGCAGCAGAGGGACTAGACACATGCGCACCGTTGGTCTCTTTGTGTGCACCAGGAAGGGCTCGGCGTTGATTTACACTTCCTGATGGGGCAAGGACCTGGAACGCGAACGTGTGCTTAGGGACAAAAATGCACGTACGCAAGGCCACTGAAATAAACACTTGTCTCGCTCCAGTTTGCCTTTGCCTCTTTGGGAGCATCCCCACCGCCCTTTCCCCGGTGTCCAGCTGGGGAGCGGACACTGAGCCCCGGAATGAGGAGCCGTGTCCTCTGGGATCCCACACCCGGGAGGGCGATGCGGGCACCGGGAGCCGGGGGGGCAGGACCCTGGACCCGGCGCGCGGGAGGAGCTCCCCGCCCGGGCCGCGAGGGACGGAGCGCGTCCTGCGAGCCTCTCCGAGCGCAGCCCCCCGGGGGGCCGGGGGGCGGGAGCCGGGCGGGCACCGTGTCCTCTGGGATCCCACACCCGGGAGGGCGATGCGGGCACCGGGAGCCGGGGGGGCAGGACCCTGGACCCGGCGCGCGGGAGGAGCTCCCCGCCCGGGCCGCGAGGGACGGAGCGCGTCCTGCGAGCCTCTCCGAGCGCAGCCCCCCGGCGGGCCGGGGGCGGGAGCCGGGCGGGCACCTGGGCCCGCCCCCCGTCGCCTGCCCCTCCCCCGCGCCGGGGCGCCGCGCGGGTGCGCCCCGGCCAGCTGTGCGCCGCCGAGCGAGGCGCCAGCCCGCGGGTGCTGCCGGGGGCGGCGGCGCGGAGGGGGCGCCCGCAGCTGGCGGCGGCGCGGGCCCGGCGCTCGGCTCGCGGCTCGCGGCGGGGGGCGGAGGTGAGGACCGGAACGAGGAGGGCGGCGCTGCTCGCGGCGCCGGGCCGCGTCCCCTGTCCGCGGCCGCCCTGCCACCAGCCCGCGTCCCCGCCGGCGGGGGCTCGGGGGCCCGGGCGGCGGCGCGGCTGTGGCGGCGACGGGCTGGATGCGAGACCTGCGCGGACCTGGCGGCGCACGGCGGCTCTCGACTCTGGGAAGCCCATCGCGGAGGGGACGAGCCCGAACGTGCTGGCCATGGCCTCCAACTTTAACGACATAGTCAAGCAGGGCTACGTGAAAATCCGCAGCAGGAAGCTGGGGGTGAGTGGCTCCCCGGGCTCTCTCCTTCCCCTGCTCGCGTTTGCGCGGCTGGCTGTTGTGGGGGGCGTGGGGGCGGGGAGAGGCGACACGCGCGGGCAAAGAGGGACCCGGCCCTTTCGCAGACAGCCCGCTTGTTGCTCGGCCGGCGTGGGGCCCGCACGTGCCTCGGGGGGTTCTGCACACGAGTTGAGGGTTCCGGGAGGGCCCGGGTCCCCATCGTCTCGTGCGCGGTGCTGGCTTGGACCAGACTGAGAAGTCATGTAGACGGAAGGTATCGCCAGTTTTGAGATGAATGTGCCTCGGAGGCGTTTTATATATAGTGCTAAGCACAGTGGTCTGCTCTCGAAAGTGTGCGCCTTTCGGGGAGAATTGCTCGGTGTGCGGGAGGTGGGCAGGCGCTCCGGTGTGTGTATTTGCAATCACCATTTTCTAACCCCGCTCCCAAGCCCATTTCGAAATTCTCTTTTGATGCCCTCCCAGCGCCGCGCGTCCCCGCCGGCGACTGCCAGCGACTTCAGTGCGCCCCGAGCAGTTGCCCCAGTGGCAGGCTCGCTGGCCGCGTGCGCGCCCGGACAGGTGCACCTGCGCCCGTGTGCAGGCAGGTGTGTGCTCGCCGCCGCGGACACGGCAGGCTTTGCGACAGCAAAGTTCATGGAGACCTTGCCGTAGTTCTTTCGTGGAAGATAGTCTGCCTGACTTGGGAGAGAAACAGTGTAGGCCCCCGGGGGTTCAGAAGTTCTCTAGTGACCGGACGAGGAGGTAAGAGGGACGCGCTGGCGGTCTCGGAGGACCTGGCTGTGCAGCGGAGAGGCAGGAGGCGAGGGGCGGGCGCTTGGAAACACAGCTGCCCCGCTGGGCGGCCCCGGGGAGCGTGGGGGCGACGCGCAGGGGGGCGCGGTGGCGGCAGTGGGGCCCGCGCGCGCGACGGGTGCTGGGCAGCCTGGGCAACCGAGAACGACCCTGGCCGGCAGGTCCAGAGCAGGAAGGGAAGCTCGGCGTGGGGGCGAAAGTGCCCCTTCCCGAATTCCCTGGGTGTTTCTCTGCCTCACCGTTCTCAGAGTTCCAGTTCTGCGAAGCTCCGGGATCCTGGGGCAGAGCGGCCGCGAACAAGAACATTCCCCGCGTTCCCTGCTGACTGGATGAATCCTCCAACTTGGAAAGAAAAGGAGGGAGAAGTGCGTTTATTTTCTCACTCAGAAAGAAAGAAAGAAAAATGGGGCTAAATGTAGCGCTAGAAAATTGAACGAAGGTAGGGCAGAACCCCTAAAGCCCCTAAAAGAGGAAGGGTCCCTACGCACCCAGAGGTCGCCGTGTCAGGAGTTGGTGGACGCAGGTGTGGGCGGCGGGAGGAAGGGAAAAGGCAGACTTGTCTGTTTTGTGCTGCCTCGGCTGGGCTTCACTTTGAAGGTGAGGACTGCACCCCGAGGAGCCGAGAGGCCCACCCTCTGGAACTTCAGCAGCTCCGTAGCAGCGGGGAGGAGAGGACCCGGTGAGCGCGAAGCCGCCCACCTCGCGGCCCGGCGCCTCCGCGCCCGCCGCGCGCCCTCGCAGGGCCGGAGAGCACGCGCGCGGCGCAGCCCCTCGGCCGCGGGTCCAGGGCTGCTCTTGGGCAGAAAATTGCGCCTCGTGCTTTTCCGGCGAGGTAAGGAAGAACCCACGTGTAAAGCCGCAGCTGTCCAGGAGGCTGAGGGCATCTCTCAGCCGGGACGCGCTGCTCAGATCTGTCACCCGCGCTGCCCAAGCAAGAAAGAGCTGGAGGGGAGGACCGCTTTAGGCACTTGACCTATGAAGCCCTTTGCTCTCGCACCGGGTGCTTGCTCATCCTTCTCGCTCTTTCGGTCTTCTTGCAATCTCAGTCGTGTCGGGCAGCTCAGACGTTACAAGCTAGTGGATGATTCAGGTCCCCCGGGGAGATGTGTATCTGCTTCCACAGAGTCATTGTGTACGTGAGAATGAGACTGAGCAATGCAACCCTGGGAACCCCCGCTCCTTGCGCTGTTGGTCCTGGGGTCTGTAGGATTCCTCTCCCGTCCCCAGCTTTCCAGGATTTCATACAACAAAAACTGAATATGGCACCCAGTTAAAATATAGGATCCAAGGAAAGAGCATTGCCTGCTTCTTGGCTAATCATGGTGTTAACAGCCTTTGAAATGTCCTTTTAAAACACCATTCCTCCTAAAGATGTGTGCAAATGTATTTGCAATCCCAAGGCGTCTGTCTCTTTCCATACTCACCGTTTAGAGATATATGCCTTTGTAAAGGACACCCTTCAGAGAAAATAAAAGCATGTTTCCATATAGATTAATTTTATGTGTAGATTAATTTTGTCTTCCATTTCTACAACTTCAGAGTTTGGTGTTGAGACAGTTTTGTTTTGTTTTAATATTAAATTGAAATATTAAGCTAAACTAACCTTGATTATTTTGAAGAATTTTAATTATCAAAAAGAACTTTAGAGACTTTCTATTCAGAATATTCTACTATTCAGAAGGGTGACTTCACATGACACAACTTCATCTACATGTTTCTGTGAAGCTGAATAAGTAAGTGGGTCTCATTAGATAGTAAAACTTTAAGCAAGTAAGGGGTGCCGTACACGTGAAAAGTCATATCCCAAATCATAGAAACATGATTTATCTAAATATTAAAACTTCATTTTCATAGTTAATAGTACATAATACTAATTTTGTGGACTCGGAACTATGGATTTTTCCAAATAAAATATGGATTTTTCCAAATAAAATAATTTTAATTCAGAAGACACATAATGATTCTTCTATGGTTTATGTTCAGAACTAAATATCAAAATAAAAATTCTAATGAAATATGCACAGGTATTTGATTTATCATGTACAGAACTCATGCTTTCAAAAACCAAATTTTATAATATTCTAAAGGGGGAAAAAAAACCCTGGGCATGAGGCCAGTGGTATCAGAGATTATTATGACGTGAAAATATATTTTGAGATGAAATGTTCTACCATACCCTTTACTCCTTAAAAGTTAGTCTTCCCTATTGTCCTGAAGGAGGGCAGAAAAGTGCCACTTGCCCTTTGGGCTGGGGGACAACCCTGATGAAGGTGCTTCCAGGTTTAAGTGGTTGAAACAGCCCTTGCCAGTCTTCTTAGGGAATCTAGTGCTACCTGTTGAGGACGCTTCTTTAGCCAGTTATTTGGGCGAAGTAGTAAGTGTTAAACAATGTTTAGAATGTTTGCTTTGAAATTTGTCTTGACACATTAATCAGCCTGTCTTTTATTCAGGAAAATAATTTTGAAAAAAAATAGTAGTATCCTGGATTTTACCCTTGTCCTTTAAAAATATGTGACATGACTGTTACAGTCATTTCTTCATAGTCTGTGTTAATTTTTCATTATAACATGTCACTGTTTCTATAGATATACTGTTTTCCTTTTGCTTGATTTAAAAGCCCTTACAATAATTCAGTTCCTTTTGCCATCTTATCTGTTGCATGATTGGTATAATTTACAAGGTACCATGGTAGTCAGTATTTTGTTTTTAACAAAGGGTTACTTCAAACACTAATTAAAAAAAAAAAAAAAGCAAAAGCATGTTGGTCAAAATTGCTTATCTCGGGGCACCTGGGTGGCTCAGTTGGTTAGGCGACTGCCGTCGGCTCAGGTCATGATCCTGGAGTCCTGAAATCGAGTCCCACAACGGGCTCCCTGCTCAGCGGGGAGTCTGCTTCTCCCTCTGACCCTCCGCCCCTCATGCTCTCTCTCTCTATCTCATTCTCTCTCTCAAATAAATAAATAGTCTTTAAAAAAATTGTTTATCTCTTAGCCTTTATTATCTGTTTCCTTCTGAACACTGATAGGTTAAATTTAGTCAGCAAGGCATATGTTGTAAAATATCCAACGTATTCTTGGTTTGCAGATAAACTAAGAACTCAACCACTGAAACCATTACTAGAACTTTATACATGGCTATTGACTCTATAATGCAGCAAAGGTAAATGCAGCATATCATCATCATCACTAGCATTAACCTCACTATATAAATTCCAGACTGCCATAGTATGACTAATTCTAGACTCAGCCCTCACATCATTGTTTTTAAGGAATTCTGTTCAAATATAGCAGTGTGAATATTCACAGGCACATTGTACACAAATAGTATTTTACACAAATTGTTTTCTCTTTCTTTCTTAAAGTCAGGTGAAGGATTTGTATTGGTTTGTGTGGGTATCAAAGGAATGTCTCAAGATACAGTTGACGTTTGCACATTCAACAAATGATCAAATAATTATGGAGCATCTACTGTTTATCAGGTGGTGTGTGTGTGTGTGTGTGAGACAGAGAGAGAGAGAGAGAGAGAGAGAGAGACTGTGAATGTCCCAGAGTCATGTTGTATTGTCAGGGTTAATAACAATAAATACCTCCTACATCACTACTACTCATAGTACATTAGGCCAGTAATAGTCACTTTACCCCAACCTGGCTGTAAGGGAAGCAGGGAAATGTAGAAGATCACATTTGGAGTATGTGATGAGCCCCAACTTTATGAGCTGAACATCTATTCAGGAAATGAGAAATCATTTGCATAATCTCCATTTGTTTCAACAACTTACTGTGGATTCATCTACATCTTGCCCTCTCTCCCTCCTTTTTTTTGTTTTTGTTTTTTCTCCCTCCTTGATTAGAACCTTGAGACACTTCCATCCCTGGCTTGATGACTCTTGATCTTCTTCTTATAAATTCTTTGGGTTTTCCTGTCCTCCCACAAACAGCTTTCTTCTGATGATGGAAGAGAGTAGTTTTTCATGAGAGAGATTTATGAAAATTTACCCCTTTACAGAAGCTCATTCATTAATATATATGGGAATTTGTGTGTGTGCATTTGCATATTTTGGTTGATTAGAGCAATCAAAAATTTCTCTGGTTTCCCAAATATCTAGAAAGTATTTTACGAAGAGTGATTTTATCTTGTATGACATGCATTACCAGTTTACCAGGAATTAGATGCATTAAATATATTTAAGATAAAACATATAAATAACTTAATGATTTTGACCGTTCAAAAGTTCAAAAGAACTCTTAGGATCATTACTTCAGCTATGAATTCCTAAATCTATGGATTTAAAACAGGGAAGTTGCATATCGGGTGTACTTAATCTTTTCTCTTTCTAGAATATTCTGTATCCTGGACATTGCTTTCTGAAAAGGATCCATTATATCCATGGTTATTTATCATTTATCTCTTTCTTATTAAATATAGAATTTAGAATATATGAAAAGTAATTATTTTAGCTATTTTCATTTTTGATTTTTGTTTATGGTGACTATTATGTATGTGTTTAACACTGTTAAACATTCCACTTAATTATTAATAATAACCCATGTGAGTTATACTGAGTAGGACTATTAAGTATTCATGTGTTTGGTCTGTTTCTAATTACATCCACTTCATTTTAGAAACTATACAAAGATAAAAAGCAAGCAATACTAACAAAATAAAAATTACCTGTTTTCCCACTATCTAATGATCTTTTCTAGATTTCTTAAATTTTGAAGTTTTAGCTTTAAGGAAAAAATAATTCTATCAAATGGGACAAACTAGTTAAAAGAGAAAATACTATAATTTCTTTACTTCAGTTTTATTGCTTTTGTCACGTGACTCATAGTATTTTCTTTTCTTCTTCAAGCTCTAGTAACTTTGTCCAAAGAGCTCAAGAATGTAGGTAGAGAACATTTTCATTAACTTTCTGCATAAATCTCCACTGGTTTTATTTTAGGATACAGAACAGGATTATCCTTTGAGTACTTCCTTTTTTTTTTTTTTAAGATTTTATTTATTTATTTGACAGAGAGATAGAGAGCACAAGTAGGCAGAGAAGCAGGCAGAAGGAGAGGGAGAAGCAGGCTCCCCGCAGAGCAGGGAGCCCGATGCGGGACTCGATCCCAGGACCCTGGGATCATGACCTGAGCCGAAGGCAGCCGCTTAACTGACTGAGCCACCCAGGCGCCCCTGAGTACTTCCTTTTTATATTATAACACTACTCCTTAATGAGAGTATTGCACCTGTCAGTCAAATTGAATGGAATAAGGAATGATATTTTGTTATAAGTAGAGAACAGAATCTCATTTAATAAAGAAATGTTCTCATGTTGTTTGAAATAAATGGTGGTTGTAATACTTGAACATGTGCAAAGTATTTCTCCTGTTATTGTACTAAATTCATTGTAAGATTGTCTAATATTTTGGCTTAATAGTAAAATGACTGAGAGGACAAACACTTTGAAGTTTGATTTGAGGCTTCATAATAGTAACATAATCATTTTGCATTTTGGTGTACCATGCATTTTACAGCTTATAAAGAATTTCCACATGTATTATCTTACATAATTTTCCCAGGATGCTGTTGAAAGTATATTTAATTTTACCTTTTATACATAAACTCAAATCCAAAAGAAGTAAAGGGAATCAGCCAGAGTTACAGAGAGACAGATTGGGTTTGTGTGTGGATGTGTATACTCAAATCTAGGTATCCTAACTTGAGGTGCAGTATTATAAATACAATGCAACAGTTTCCATTTCCTAAAATATGTAGGCAGGGAGCAACACAGCTATGTGTACTATTCAAAGTAAATGTGTTTTCTTCAGCTGGTTACTTAGTGTAAAGCTAATATTATCATTCACTTGACTCAACCATAAGTTATTTACATTGCAGATGAACGTGCTACTGGCAGGTGAGAGGTGGTGGAAATGGCTGAAGGTGATCAAAAGACAAAAAGACTTCCAGTTGTAAGCTAAATAAGTTCTGGAGAGGGAATGTAGAGCATGGTGACTACAGCTAACAAT